CTCAGTCCCCTTTTTAAACAGACAAATGGGCGACTTCCCGTGGCTCCAATCACCAGCCAAAAGGGTACCCGGACCAGTGTATTTTGTACGGAGAACCGCTGCTCCAGGCACCGACAAAGCAGCGGCGCGGGGCAAAGCAGCGGCGCCGGCCAGCACAGCCGCGCTGGCCGAAACAGCCGCGCTGGTGACCTGTGGAGCTCCTCCACCTGGGAATTTCCTAGTCTGTGGGCAATAAAAATGTGGCGTCCACTCACCCTCTGCGCTTTCACTGGGAGCTGCAATCCTGAGCTGTTCCTAAACGGCTATCTTGGATCCTCCCTGACCCCTAAGGTTTTTTTTAAATTATTATTTCAAGATATTCACATACTACCATTCACATATTTAGATGGGCACTCGAATCCTCTTTTGGTAAAAGATACTGGGAAACCAGAGGAGCTGCTTATGAAATGTCAAATGGAAACATTCCAAACCACTGACAGACAATCTCAGTGCTAGGAAAAAATAATATGAGTGAAAACTATTGCATATGTGGGCGATGGCAAAATGTAGAAAATCCTTTTCTTACAAAGTCAGCCATTACATTCTAGGTAATCAAGATGAATATTAAGTTTACAGATCCCTGGCACAGTCAGATGAACACACTAAATACAAATCTATAATTGAGAAACAGGATCAGTAATGGCTATTTGCCCAACCTGAAAACCAGATCAGTTTGATCCAGTCCTACCTCTAATCTCAGAATTTTGAGATAAAACCTCATTACTAAAAATAGAAAAAAAGGCCAGGAGGGAGCTCATGCCTGTAATTCCAGCACTTTGGGGGGCCAAGGAGGGTGGATTGCTTGAGCCCAGGAGTTTGAGGCCAGGCTGGGCAACATGATGAGACCCTGTTTCTACAAAAAAATACAAAAATGAGCCAAGTATGATGGCACATTCCTGTGTTCACAACTACTCAGGAGTTTGAGGTGGGAGGATCACCTGAGTTCCAGGAGGTCGAGGTTACAGTGAGCCATGATAGTGCTACTGCCCCCCAGCTTGGGTGACAGAGTGAAACCCTGTCTCAAACAAAAAAGAATATTACATAGCAGATTTTCAGAATCAAAGAGTATATCAGCCAAATAGATTAGAATGACTCAAAAATTATCCACACTTAGGAAAACATGTTTATAAAATATTATTATCCTTACCTGCATATTTTCTTTACTGGTAAGAGGTTTTCCTGAGTCAAATGATTGAAATAGCTGTCAAAATACAAAATAGTAACAGCAAGAACAAGATTATTTGAGTATTCTTTTAAACATTTAATGTGTTCTAAAATAATTTTAATTATCATTTTTATTGAAAAAGTAATATATGCTCTAGTCAGAAAAGATATAGTATAAAGAAAGTAAAAATCATACATAAGTCAACTTCCTTTAAGAAATACATTTATAGTCGTTTTTCCTACTAACTTCTTTTGGCTCACTTTTTAAATTTAAAAAAATAGATTTGTATTCCACATTCACTAATATTACATCATAATTTTCTTCCCATACCGTTATTTGTAAACTTCAGTCTAACTAGTAGGTGATATTCTATCCCATGAATGTAGCCTAATAACCTCCTTCGTATTGTTGGACATCTCAGGGAGCTACTTCCCCATCATTATTGCATCGTTCGGCCCTAGTTTAAATAACACTGATAACTATTTTGTCTATATTTCTGATTATTGCCTTAGGATAGATTCCTAGAAGCAGAATTCCTGGGTCAAAAGATATGAATATACTGAGAAAATTGAAAGAGTCTGGCTCAATTTACACTCCCACCCACATTGTATGAAAATGTCAGAATTATTGCACTGTTAAAAACATTGAGTATTATCACTTAAAAACATCTTTATCCATTTGAAATAAAATTGTATGGCAATTCAGAATAAATATTTTTGGTTGTTTTTTCCCCTTTTTTGGTGTATTACTTGTTATCATATTTAGCTCTAAATATAATGTTGCATTGGGAAACATTTAGATTATTTGCCACAGGAGACTGACATGTCTAGTAGGATGCATCTCTCTTGATACAGAGGCCCTTTTTAAAGTATGCCCACTGGTAAAATCCAAAAGTGATGCCCTCTGCCCCTCCCTCATCCCCCTTGGTCACCAGGAAGTCACCAACAGCTTCCATGGACAGGCTGCTCACAGGTAGATGGTATTCTACTCAAGTACCTGTACCTCTTTGCCTGGCCATAATAACGTTCAGGAGAGGCTAGAAGTGCAGGGAACAAATCTTACCAAAGAACAACAGAAGTATTCTACCTAGTCTCTCTCAGAGCCCCAGTTACCCATATGAGTGACCTTCTCATTCATGCTCTCTGGACTGGTTTTCCCCACTTCCCAATCTAGCTTTCTTAATTGCTCACCTTACTTCCTTGAATCACTTCCCAAAGAGACTATTCTTCCCAAATCCTAGTCTCAGGATCTGCTTTTGAGGGAACCCCCCCAAAAACAATACATCACAATAGCTTTTATTGAAAAAGTATTGGTAAGTGTTTAAAAACTTTTTTCTCTACTTTGAAGATATTCTTTATTACCCATAATACATTGAAAAGTGAGTAAATGAATCCAAGGGGAAATCCTTGGTGGTATAAATTAAAGAGAGTTTAATAATGGGACTTTAGATTTGGTGATAAGAGCAGAATCCTAATATGAGTATAATGTTAAAAAATAGAATTTTTTTAAAGGCCTGTGAAAAGTTCAATAGTAATCTGTAGGATTTTTTCAGTTACTACTTTTACAAGTGAAACTTAATTCATTAATCCCTTCTTTAAATAACTAGCCTGCAGCTTAATAACATTGGCACCTATTTTAATTATAAATCCTGAATGTATTTCCTCTTTTAATTACACTTTTTAAATTCCCAACTGAAGCTGGAAAGTTGCAAATTAACTTTGAGAATACAAAATCTGAAATCAGAATCTATTGGGAGATAGATTCACCCACACATTTATCTTATGAAAACTAGTCGATAAAAATGGAGTTTGGAATCTACATATAAAAATTAGTTTCTGACCTTTTGTTTATTTGTTCCAGTGAAAGCAGTGACCATTGAAAACTCTCTTGTTTCTCATCCTACCCAACTGGTTTCTCTTTTCTTCCCATCCTCCTGGACTCTAAAGGTGAGTGACCCTAATGTTTAGACCTCTGACTTCTGCTTTTCTCTATCTGCCTCATCTCCAGCTGACTTCATCCAGTTCCGTGATTTTAAATCTCTCTTGTTATGTTCCCAAATTTGTCCCTGCAACCGCAACCTCTCCCCTGAATTCCAGACCCTATATGATCTGCACCTACCTATGCTGTGTCTCCACCTGGATGTCTCCTGGGAATCTCATACTTAACATGTTCAACCCCTACCTGGAGCAGTATTCCCCATTTCAGTATATGAAAACATCTTCCTACCAGTTGCTCAGGTTGAACATTCTTCCTTGCCTCCTTTCTCTTACATCCTGTATCCAAACCATCATCAGCAAATGCAGCCGGCTGAACCTTCACAACACATCCAGAAGAGGACTGCTGTTCACTCCCTTCACCACTACCACAATTACTATCATGCCTCACTCAGATTATCTGCAACAGCCTCCTAACTATCTCCAAATGTATACCCCTGCCTACCCACAGCCTCTTTCCCAAACAGCAAATAGTGTCCTTTCATATTTAATTCCTATCATGTCACTTCTCTGCTCAAAACTCTGAAGTTTCCCATCTCATTTAGAAGAAATTCCAGTCCTTATCAAGCCCTATAAGGTCTTACATGATCTGACTCCTAGGTCACTTCTCCCCGTCTCTTCCTCCTCCTCCTTATTGCAGCCTCACTTTCCCGACTTGGTTTTCCTCAACCACATCTTGCAAGCATCCCTTTTAGAACCTCCACCCTTGCAGTTCCTCCTACCTGGAAGTTGTTCCCCCAGATCTTTCCATGGCTCACTTCCCCCAAAACTTGCTTATTATAGAGATTCTCCAAACCACCCTGAATACAATAGCACCCCATTGCCCTGGTCATTCTCCATCCCCTCAACTCTGCTTGATTGTCCTTGACAGCCATGTATCACCACCTGACATATACGTATGTGCTTAACTTATTTAGTGTTTGTCTTTTTCACTGGACTGTAAGCTCCAGGGAAGCAAGAGCCCCACTACTGTCTTTCAACCGCTCTATCCCCATGCCTGGATTGGCACCTGTATTCAGTAAGCACTCAAAAAATATTTTGCAACTAATTAAAGTGTAATTAACTGAAGAGGAAGCAAGAAAATGCTGCTAATTTAATCCAGGTAAGAAGATGATTAATTTACGCCACAGAAAATGAGCAGAACATTCAACCATCTGACTCTAGTCTCTCTCTTTTCCCCCATTCTGTGTGTATCTATCTATCAATCGATCAATCACACAGATATATGCATATATATGGATGTATATACATATATACCCATGTGCATGTGTGTATCCTATTGCCTAATACACATCCCTCTTGGGATCTTCTGTGCACAGCCTCACACCGTATTACAATAAATTATAATGCTATAGCAGTCATATGGAATAATAAGCAGGTACATTTTAGGGGAATACTCTGAAGTAATGATCATACTATATGTAAATATAATGTCAGCTTATGTTCGTGATTTTCAAGACTTATAGTTCATTCTCCAGGTTGCTTTAGGTCCTCCAAATCTGAATCTAGCCAGTTGGTATTGTGCCTATCAGTCTCACTCCTCACACAAACACTCTCTCCCAGGCAAACCGACTTGCTACCTTCTCCCATTCTCTTTGTTGCTGGTATGGGAGGGCCCAAGCATCTGCCTAAAGCATGATCACCCGGTGATTCCCAGGTCAACATGAAGACCAAAACAGAGGAAAATAACAGCTCACTCTGATTTAATTTATGCTTTAAACGTCAACTCCAGTATTCATTTTCAAGGGTACTTCAATTATCCAGTTTATAAATGCAAATTAAACAAGCCAGGTAAAACTATCTCCTAAAATCAACAAAGGTTAGACAATATGGAGGAATGTTCTCTCCTCACAGAAATCAGAGGAAATTTGAACACATTCTTAACACTTTAGTATAAAGCATGACAATCAAAGAGATCCAAGTAAGATATAAGGAAAGACTATTTTGATTAAAAATATTAACCAGAAATTATAATGTTAGACCCAAAATCTAAGTAGTAGTGGCTGATTGATGTGCCTAGTGAGACTGCCCATGGTAACTATAATAAAAAGCAACATGCAGCATCCCTGAGCCAGAATTTGATTGCAAAAATCTACTCCAAAACTATGCTCCCTCCGCCATAACACCCTTCCAACCCAGACAAATGAAACGTCGTAAAGTCCTCATGCTAGTTGTAACCAGGCTTAACAAAGAGGTCTAGCATATCGGAGATTGTAAACATACTTTCACAGGAGTGTTTCCTACATTTTAGGAGTATTTCCCTCACAGGCAAAGAAATTGCTTTGAATCAAATTGTCAGGTTACCTTCATTTTTCCAGCAGCTTTATAGCCTGCGGGTATTGAACAAGGCATGTTTTTTCCATAGAAAATCTGGGATATCTCATAAAAGGCTTCAGAAAAGAATCTCAAATCTATAAGGACTTCTATCTGTAAAGCAAAGGAAACAATGAGGTATTTAATTAAACAATTTGTTGTACTTAGAAAATAAAAGTATAGAGAAAATCATCAACTTTCTGAGATCCAAAGTTTCTGCTTAATGTTGGTAATGCATTACGAATTAATGTTTACTAGACACAGTGGAGGGAGATGCATGTGTCTATGTGTATCCCCATTTACATGTGCAATGGACCAAGAAGCTAACAACAGCAGGCGGCTGTTCAAAACAATGGACATTTATCAGATGCTGTTTACTTCATCAGAGGCAAACATAACATATTAATATTTTTATAATATGATAGCTGTCCAAAAGTTTTTAAAAATGAATTTTTTGTTCCCATTACTAAGTATAGCTTAAAAGAAAAACAAAACAAAAGCACTCCTAATGTTCCCCAGCACAGCCAGGGAAGTCAAACTGGTAGACTAACTCTACAATGTATCAACATAGAGACAACTACTAATTTTATTTTTAACTTTTATTTTAGGTTCAGGGGTACACATGCAGGTTTGTTATATAGATAAATTGCATGTCATAGGGGTTTGGTATACTGATTATTTCATCACCTGGGTAATAAGTATAATGCAGGTGAACAGGGTCTGGAGGCAGGGAACCTAAGGCCGTCTCACACCAACTTTCTTGAACTAAATTGAAAGGACAACCCTAATTTTCCATGCCTAAGTAACAAAAAGACCAGCGGCTACTCCCTTTGCAAACCTCCATCCTTTCTGTGCAGTAGATGGGAAACTGACTGTCTGCAACAAATTAGACTTATTGCAGGTAAGTCATCATTTGCATACAAGTATAATTTTATAACCTCACCCGGATTTTTTGCAACCGATCAGATATTTGCACAGGAGTGTGACCTTTAACTTCACTTCAGCCACTGGTTGGCTGCTTTCTGCAACCAATCAGACAAATTGTGGGCTACCACTTCATTTACCTGGGGTGAGCATGAAGTGGCCAATGGGAAATGCCTACGGGGTATTTGGACCCAAGAAGATTCTGTATCCGGGCTCTCAAGCCGCTGCTCAGGCCTGCTCCCACACTGTGGAGTATACTTTCATTTTCAATAAATCCCTGCTTTCATTCTTTTGTTGTGTCATTCTTTCTTTGCTTTGCTGGGTGCTTTGTCCAATTCTTTGTTCTAAATGCCAAGAACCTGCACAATTTGCAGTCGTGACCCACTACTGGTGACAAGTATAGTACCCAAGAGTTAGCTTTTTGGTCCTCACCCTCCTCTCACCCTGCACCCTCAAGCAGGCCCCAGTGTCTATTGTTCCCTTCTTTGTGTTCATGTGTCCTTAATGTTTAGTTCCTGCTTATAAGTGAGAATATGTGGTATTTGGTTTTCTGTTCCTGTGTTAGTCTGCTGAGGATAATGGCCTGCTCAGCTCCGTGCAGGTTGCTGCAAAGGACATGATCTCATTCTATGACTGCGTATTATTGCATAGTCTGTATGTACCACATTTTCTTTATCTAGTCTACCGAAGATAGGCTAGACTAGATAAAGTTATTTCATGTCTTTGCTATTGTGAATAGTGCTGCAATGAACAATTTTCCTACCCATAATTAATGGCCACTGTCAATTTTAAATATATATATTTAACAATATTAATCAATTGACAGCTATACATTTTATAATGTATACAATACAATCCAGCAGGATCATCAATCTGAAAATTATAGAAAAAGTTATTATTTAAATGCATTCATTCATTCAACATATATATGGAGCACCTCATATGTACAAGCACTCTTGGAGGCTATGTTCCATTGGGATGCATGGTTAGCTAAACTTACAGTGACACCTAAAGATATACACAACATACAAAGGGATACAGGGCACTCACAAATACTATTTTCAAGACTGTGGTCAGGAAGGAATTCTCTGTGAAGGAGACCTTCAAGAGAAGATTTGGGAAGGGCATAAAAGAAAACAGACATGCACATCTGCTAAAGGGACCTTAGGATAGAGGCCATATGGCAGGACTCAGGGAGCAAGGGGAGGAGGTCAGGAGGCAAGTGTGAATGCTGGCCATGAAAGGTCAAGTAGAACCTGAAGACCAGAGAAGGGACTTCGCATGTTATTCCCTGTGTGATAAGGAGTTATTAGAGAGTTTTAAACAGGATAGGGCCCTAACCTAAGTTTTGAAAGCCATCTAGTGACTTTGTAGAGAATAGAGAAGGGTAATGTGGAAGCACAGAATAAAGTACAAAATTAGATTAACATGTAAATATATTACACAGGAAAAGAAAACTCCATTTATCTTCAGCAAGTCCACCCACCGTACTCTGTTTCCAATTTATTATTATCTTAGCTATCTCAAGAGTGTGTGAATTTTAAAGAAATAAAAATGTGAGCTAGTGGGAAATCGGATACATAATAACTGAAAAATAAAATATAAAATTCAGGGAAATATTTTTTAAAAGAAAGAGAAAATTGCTTGTCTATTGAGTTGCATACTCTGCTCCTTGCCCAAGACACCTTGGGCTCTAATCTCCCCAGTGCCATATAATATCAAAGGAGGCTCTAGGGGAGACATATAAACTCTTTCAGGTTTCTAGGTGACCATTTTTCTCATTAGCCCTAAGAGGAAACACTTCCCCATATCTGCATGTGGTTAGTTTCCTTGAGTCTTGACTATATGATTGCTGTACATGGACTCTCTATGGCTTCAGTTTATCATACCAATCTGACCATTTGAAAAAGCAATTGGGTAAATAATGGACATATATTTTCAGAGGTGACCAACACTGCAAACACAAACAAGCCAGATAGCAAAAAGAACTACCCACAAATCAACCATTCACTCACACAAATACAGAACCATTGGTACCCTTCCTAGGTTTGATATGTTAAGAGTGATAAATCTTTCAAGATGTTGGCAGTTCTAAAGCAAAGCCAGGCCAGCTGATCATGAAGAGGTCTTAAAGCTTTCCCTGAAAGACTCTAGGGCACTACAGAAACTTCAGAGTGTGATCTACTGCTCTTTGATTTGTCAGAAAGCATCATTGTGTGTTTTTCCCGACTATGACATTTCTCTCTTCCCACTCCCTGGCCCCAGTTTACTTCAGAAAGGTCAGGCAGACTCTGCTCACACAGGCTGTCATCCCTTCCTCTGTATGATCCATCACTTGTGCTCTTTCATTGCTTCTGTCAAAACCCTAGTCTGGCTTTTCCATCCTATCATGCCAGTAAGATCCCAGTTCTCCATATACTCCCAACACTGCTACCAGATACCAGATATGATGTCATTCTCCTGATCCAAATCCTATAATTAATTAGAGAAAATAATAAGATTCTAGATAAATTTGATAATTAATTCTCCAACCCAGTTCTCCAGAATTGAGTCCACAGTTTTTCTCTGGTTTTTATGCTACTCTAGGACAAAAACAGCTACCAAGCGCTAACAATAGGATTTTTTTAAAAAGTCATCTAACCACTTTGTTCCAGATTATGTCTTTTGGGGCCCCTCTAGATCTCCTCTTCATGAGTTATGATCATTGCAACCATTTCATGCTTCTTGCCTCTTAATGACAGACCAGATTGTATGTGTTACACAAATCGGATACTGCAATCTCTTCATTTCTCTCATGGCTCAACCTCCACATTACATCTCTTCAGAGTTGGGAATTCAAGACTAGGTCCCTGGTATTCTCAAGGTCATCAACCTTTGGCAGTCTCATGTTATCTTCTACAACCTGCCTACTCAAAACCTCCGCTGTAGTGTAACTGAACCACCCCGCCCCTAAACGAGTCAGCACTTTCTCACCTCTTTCACACTACTAAGAAATGTTCCCTTTTTCCTCTCTCCTGCTCCATTAATTCTACTCTTTCAAGCCTAAATCTTACCTACTTAGTGAAACCTAAAGACTCAAATCCAGTTTTTCTTCTTTCAAACTCCTGGAGACAGCGTTCATCACACTCACTTGGAAATGAAAGAGTGGCAGGTGCCAACATTATGGTCTTGGGTATACGTCCTGTCTTTTGTTTTAGTTTTCACTTCCTTATAAGCAAGGACCATTGGCTACATTTCTTTGACTGAAGTTACTAACACGGTGCTTTTAAATAGGAAATACTCAATAAATATTGTTGTAGGGTTAAATCAATAAATATCTGCCAAGTATTTTCTAGGTGATTTAGCACTAAACACTATAAAAAGTGGACAGTATGCACTTGATAAATGTCTGCAGATTTTAAATTCAATAGTTAATTACTGAATTTCAACTATGTGAATGTATTACTCAAGACACTACAGGGAATTAAAAGATGAGTAAGATACAGATCCTAGCGTCAAGAATTTTGCAATATTGAAGAGAACATTATCTTTTGTAAAAGAGAGAAAAGTTACATGCAGTTTCTTTTAAAAGTGTTGGAATTCAAAAGCAAGAGAGCTCATATGAGTTCAGTAACTCAGAGAGGGTGATTCAGAAATTTTCATGGTCAGTAACAAATTATTTATTCCCAGGGTAAAATCACTAATAGCACCAGAATTATTCTTAATTTCTTTACTTAGAAATAGAATGCAATGGTGTTGAACAATGAGAACACATGGACACAGGGAGGGGAGCATCCCACACTGGGGTCTGTGGGGGGGAAATAGGGGAGGGGCAGTGGGGGGTGGGGAGTTGGGGAGGGATAACATGGGGAGAAATGCCAGATATAGGTGATGGGGAGGAAGGCAGCAAACTACACCACCATGTGTGTACCTAGGCAAAAATCTTACATGTTCTTCACATGTACCCCAGAGCCTAAAATGCAATAAATAAATAAATATAAATAAATAGAATGCAATGAACTATTTGGGTCTGAAAACATAGACCCCAGGGCAGGGTTTAGATAGGAAGAGCAATTCAAATGGAAATCTAATTTTCCCTTATTAGAAAATAGAAGAAATCTGGAGACAAAAGATAGAGAGTATTTCCACAAAAGTGGAAGTATGCACGAAGCCAGTGGTGTGTTGGAGCCCATCCAAATTACAAGAGCTGACTGTGCACATCTTGTCCCCTATTCCATCGTTAGTGATGTCTAGTTGGTAGCCTGAAGTCACGACATAGCGGGAATATTCACACCATGGATAGAAACTGCAAATGCCACAGATGAAAGTTTTGAGGTTTTTTAGAGCCAATTATGACATTGACGGCCCATAGCTGATTGCTCCATTCGATCAAAGGCAGGAGATGATGGCCAAGAGAGTTTTTAAGCTCAATAAAGCCAAGTGTTCTATATTAAATTGTTTGTTTTGCCTCAACTTAAATTTCCCTGTCTTCCTAATTTTTAGTAAAGTCCACTATAGAAAAAAGAGTGAATATATGGTATGTGCATGTGTAAAATATAAAATAGGGTTGAATTCCATATTAGAGTTGAGGAGGTACAGAACCAGAAGCACATTTGTTGGATATTGACATGATCCATGTACAAAACAAACTCAATAGAAGTGGGAGCCGGCAACATGGGTGATTAGGAAAGAGGGCAGAGAGAACAAGGTGCTTCCCACTCCACGTAGTGTTCAAGCCAATCGCATGTGAATCTCAAAAGCAGAGAATCTTAACTGACTTCTGGATGACAGAAATTTTTTTTTTACAGATTGTTTTTTTTTAATTTAGCATCTGATCTTGTCAATTCAATTGCCTGTGCATTGAAAAATTACTGTGTACCATGATATCCGTAAAGGTCCTTAGGAATAAGTTCACAGAAACTTCAGAAAACTGGTTCGGTTGGTCTTCACCAGAAACCCAGTCTCTCAGAAGCGGTGACTTCCAGGCCAATTAGTGTTGGGTGAGCTTTATTTCCATGTTCTCATTTCTGTTGCATGTTCCTCACTTTACTGTGGCCCAAGCATAAAATAATCTACACCTTTCTAACTGGCTCTTTCTCATACTTTATTATAATAATGGGCAAGTTATTTCTTATATCAGTATAATGCCATGTTATTATCAGTGCGTTATTATGAGTCCTAGGATCAAACTAATACATGACAATATACTTAATAGTTCAAGAATATCAAATGTCTTAAAAGCTTGTAACATACCTTGAGGATTCTTGCTTCTAGATTTCTGATTAAGTCTTGACAAATTCCAGAAACAAAATATTGGTACAATGCAAGAAGAGGCAAAACCTATGAAAAGAAAAACACTCTTTGTTATATGTTTTATCAAAGTAATAACCGGATAATCAAATTTCGCCAAATATTAACTATAGGATATGTTATATATTGATTTACTTTCCATGCTAGGAAACTATACTGCTGGATATAAGTGAAACGCTCTATCTAGCACAGGCTTCATAAGTTTTTCAGAACTTTAAGAAGCTATCAGAGATTCACAGTTCCCAGTAGATGCCATTTGGTACCCCAAACCCAGGCTGCTCATCTCTTTAAGCAAGAAGAGGTTAAAATCCAATCAATTATCTTCCTTGAAAACAATTAACTCAACATGAACACATGAATCACTGTGGCCTGTGGAAAAATTCTAGCAAATGAGCTACCAAATAACTGTAAAATATAAAGCAAAGAAAGTCAATCTATGCCCCTAACTGGACCTACATATTTGTTTCAATACCAGCTGCTTTTTGTCTTCAATTAGAATTTTTCTACCAACAAAAAATATTTATAACATGCCTATTATATGTTAGGCACTGTTGAATGAGAACAAAATCTAACAAATTCCTGCCTTCACATAGCATATATTCTACCGATTAAAACCCAAGCTTACTCTTCACATAATATTTTTATTTTCCTAGAATTTCACCCCAAAGTTCAATTGCTCTTGAAGTTTCATGGATATATGTGAAGGCTTATAGAAGACCAATATTTCAATTGGCCCAACCACGATCCATCACGAGAAAGATGTGGTGAGGACAGTTTTGTCTAACGTTGGAACAGCTCCTGATCTCAAGTCAAACTGGAAGCTCAGTTCCTGCAACTGTAGCCTGCCCTGACAAAGGAAAATGGGGTAAAAAGGATATTGGGATCCCCATTAGTTAGCAAATTACTTCCCATAGCTCCACAGCTCTGGGTCACATAGCAAATTTTATATTCAAGGGAAGTCCCCTTAGCCACTGGGCATCTTCTGGAGAAGGTTGATGTAATACGAAACGGAAACTGTTTACTTCTTGCAATTTCAGCTGGGGAACCTCTAATTGTCAGTCAACTGGCAGCTGCTAATAGCAACAGCTTTTTAAAAAGATTAGAACTGGTCTTAAATGATTTCAAACGTAATACAATACATTTTTCTATAATTATGCCCTACGAACATAACACAATAGCTTTTTCCACAATTAATGTAGCACAAAACATTAAGAATCGGCGATTACCTCTGAGGTTGTTTCTTTTCTTTAGTGAGAAATAAAAACACAGCACTTTATTGCTGCCAATTGCTCAATTATTCAGAAAAACATTCTCAATTTCTTCAGCTTTAGAGGGAAAAAAACCTCATTTCTTTTCCAGCACAGTGATATGTATTATATATGAATATGTCTAGGCAGCTAAAGGTTACCCAGGGGATGGAACTATTTCTTCAACCCAGAAATGAATCCCTTTAACAGTGAGAGGAGCACTATTTTGTTATTTTTCAAAAATAAACAATTTCTCACCAAGTCTGCCAAGTGTTAAATGCACTTATCAATCTCTTTAACACATGGTTTTACAAGTTCTCAGTTCATATAGGGGGCAATAAATATTTTCAATTTAAAGAGAGATCTGAATTTGGAAGAATAAATATGCCAAGAGAATAGAAAACAATGTATGGGGAGGAAAGTAAGTAGGTATGAAAATCGTGGAGGAAAGGGAAAGAAGCAGAAAAGGAGAAAGAATAGATGTAAAGAAGTAGAGGGGGAAAAGAGATACAAAATAATAGAGGGAAGAACATAAAGAAAGAAAAAAGACAAAATAGTGGAGGAAAATATAAAATGAACAACAATTCTAATAGAACATACTAGTTTTTTTTAATGCAACCAGCTTCAAATTTATGACCTATACTGTGATTTCTTTCCTCAAAGGAAAGGAGAGCTGTATTTGAATTTTTTATTTCCTAGGACATTAAAAAATCTCTATCCTTTATCTACTTAGAATCTATTTTTCTCTTAGAGACACCCTTGACAGAGAAAATACAAGACACATAAAGATAAACTTCTTTCAATAAAGAACCGCTCTCATAGTTTTGGGATTGATATAACCTGAACAACTTAATGCAGTGGGTTCCAAATACCCTAGACTTCTGTGTTTGAGATCAGTGATGCATTCTGATCAATTTCACTAACCATCTTAAGAAAAAAAATATAAAGTAACACAGTAAAAGGAGGAAAAATCAAATAGACTGCTTTTGTATCCAAAATGCAAAGAAAGAATATTAATTCATACATTTTAGTTTGAAGTGTAAGAATCCTACATACGTAGAGTTTAAAAATTAAATAGTAATTGACCAAAATAATATTAGCAAAATTTGAAAAGTATGAGGTGAGTGGAGCAAAATATCCCAGTGATAAATATGTGTTGATTTTACGAAGTACTTACTATTAGGTTTTGCCTAACAAAGTGCAGTTCACGTATAATGTAATACAGACTTGCAATTACAGAGCAAATGTCAGCCCTGTATCTGTCTGAGAAGAGCTCAATGCCTGGGAGAAGTTGAGTGATTTCATATTGAGCATAGCAACGTTCCGCTTTGGGATGTGGAAGTGTGGTTCTAAGCAAACCCTGAAAATGCAAAAAAAAGTGAAATAAAAAGCTATAGATTCCATTTTCAATAATGAAGCAAAAAAGATAAACACATGTACTGCTTTCTAAAATGCTTAGTGAATGCCTAGCACACTGTACTTTGTAATAAATGGTACTTATTTATATTATCAACATTACAGGTTCCAAATGCTTTTATCACTCCAGATGGGCTTTTAAAATTCCATGGTAGTTGGATATTTATTATTTTCAAAGAAATTATCATTATATTAAATTATCTTTTGTTGAGGGTCAATTATATGTTAAGCACTGCTGGTAAATTCTTTATACACATTATCTCATTTAATGTTAGTTTAACCTGCTCTTAGAAGGAAGGATTATTATCTCACAAATGATATAATTGAGGCTTAAACAACTTATCTGAAGTCACATAGCTAACGATGGCAGAAAGGAGATTCAAAGTCATGCCAATTTAGCTAAAAAAAAAAAATCTATGTTCTTTCCACTATAGCAAGCTGTAAGTAGAGGAAATGACTACTTGTTTCAGAAGTCTAAATCAGGCAGAAGTAATTTGAAACTTTTAACTGCTTAAATGAAAAGATTTTGTTTAATCTTTAATTTGATCAATATTTTTTGGTAATTTATGTAACTGACATTACACTAGATGTTGGGGAAACAAGATGGATATACAAAACCAAATTTTACCTTGAAGAGTGCTTCTTTTGTTATCTTAACAATGACAATTTCTTAAGGACAAATGCATTATGAAATTATTTTAATGTACATTTTAGAAAGAATTTCAATCCAACAGCTTATTAAGGTCATGAAGTATCCTACTCCAAAATACTTTGTAGTTGTTGAAATTTTTACTAACGTAAATTTGTTTTAAAATCATAAAAAGAATAAGGCTTTAAAATAAATCCTACTAGCTAATTTTTATTTTAGGTATAATATTACTAAGAAATTAATAATACATTATTGTCCATATTAAGCAAAAGTTAAATATTTGTTAAAACACTTATTTTCTAAAACATAAACATCTTCAAGAACAAGGAGTATCAGAAAGTAAAGAATTCGATGCAGGAAGTCAGAGTTGGGTCATTTCCTTTATACCCTTGCCTCTTCTACTTCTTCCCTTTGAAACCTGGGCAAGAGATAGAAGGAACATAAGAAAATTGAAAAGTCTGGTCTTACATTCAGAGAAGTTCTTCCTGAAGAACTCACTTATTTAGATTTCATAAGCTAACAGACTTCTCTGATATACAGAACAAGAATACCCATCCTTCAAAGTAAATAAAACCTTTAGTAGATTCCAAAGGCCCCTGGTTACTTTTCAGAATTTTAAAATATCTTGTATTTCAGATAAAAGCTTCTTTCTTCTTCAGTGAAGTTAAACCAAAATTCTGAGAACTGCAAGCATACCTCTCCTGCAGTCTTCAAGTTATTTTCCACCTTCATCCTAAGATAGACTGTATAACACATAACCAAGCAAAACTGAATTTAGAGATGAGGTAACCTAAGGCAACTATTTGAAGTCAAACAGACTGGCTTCAAACTGACTACTAGTAACATTATCTTACTTAATCACAGGAGACTCAGTTTCCCCATCTGTAAAATTCCTTCTTCTGTAGTCTACAGGAGAAAACTAACACTGTTAAATATTAAAGGTGCACCCGGCATGGTGGCTCATGCCTATAATCTCAGCACTTTGGGAGGTCAAGACAGGTAGATCACCTGAGGTCAGGAGTTCAAGATCAACCTGTTCAACATGGTGAAACCCTATCTCTACTAAAATACAAAAAATTAGCTGGGTGTGGTGGTGCACGCCTGTAGTCCCAGCCACTCGAGAGGCTGAGGCATGAGAATTGCTTGAACCTGGGAGGCAGAAGCTTCAGTGAGCTGAGATGGCACCACTACACTCCAGCCTAGGCAACAGAGTGAGACTCGGTCTCAAAAACAGAAAAAAAAATTCACGATGAAAGTGCCACTGGGGTTCAGCCAGCAAGAGAAAGATGGGGTTGTGATATTTAAATTAAGATTCATGCTATTTTGCTACCTGTGAGCTTTCTGAATATGATAAACATTTTTTACTGATCTGATGAATGGTTGTGCTACCATGGAAAAACATATAAACATAAAACGTTACCTGAAAGAGTAATGCAGACAAAATGCAACAGTCAGTTCTCTTTTCAACATTCAATGACTGAATAAATCTAAGTAAGTATAAGAAAAATAAACTGATTAGTAGAAAATTTCCAAAAACATTTTGGCATAACTGTACCTTTACATACATATCCAGAACACAAAAGGTATAAGAAAAACATATACATATAAATATATAAGAAAACAGAAGGAAAATATATTAAAGAAGATAAAATTCCCCTGTAATCCTACTGCCTAAACACGATTACTGGTAACATTTTAGTCAATTTCCTTATACATATTTTTTTCTGTATACAATTATACACATGTAGAAACAAATACACATAGATTAAGACTAGAATTATGCAAAACACATTATTTTATAAACAAATTTTTCATTCACACACATAATGAACTGTATCATTCTTCTAAAGAACTTTAATGTTTTATCATACGAATGTGCTATAACATAAAAATACGAATCTCAACTCTGGCTTTTTCCAGTGCTGAGGTAAACATTGTTATGTCCACATTTTTGAACACTTATCCTATTTGTTCCACTGAATGAACCCCTGGAAGTGGAAGTTTTTGGTAAAAGGAGGTGCACAGTAAAGGCTTTTGATGAGCACAGTTAAAGAACTCCCCCTGAAGACTGAAGCATTGTATTTTCTCTCTAGCTGTTTATTATGGTGCCTTTCAAACATTAAGTATCTCCACCAAAGATTAATGTCTCTCCATTTACAACTCTTTCATTTTATGTCCCTTAGAAGAAGAGTTTGAGTTCTCTATACTGATGAGTCTTAAAATTCACATTTGTAACTACAAAACACGTTACCTTCTCCTAAGTCTTTCTTAGATAAAACCAATCAGGTTCACTACATTAATAAAAATGTCTATCACAGTTCAGCTTCACTGTGTGGATCTTCAAGTGTGGTATTTTACAGAGGGGGAGAAGAGTTTCCTCTACTCAGGGAGTCTAGGAAAATAGCCAAAGCCCCTGTAGAATCACATCTCCTATGGCAGTCAGACTTCCAGCTGGGTAACCAGGAAATGACTTTCTGTTTGTTGAAAATCACTAGGTAATAACTTCAGAGGCACAGAGAAGCTGAGGTGCCCTCTGGCAGGAAGGCTGTGCTGTTCCTTTCCAAGCTGTGAACTTTCCTTGGCTTTTCCATTCCCAAGTGCCAAGCTCCACTAAGTCATAAGCAAGCGCAGACTTTGTTTCAGGAGAGAGAGAGAGAGAGAGAGAGAGAGAGAGTGTGAGAGTGTGTGTGTGTGTGTGTGTGTGTGTTCTATCCCAGGAGCACAGAAAAATCAAACGTGACAGAGCCCTAAATCTTTGATGTTTAATACGTCTAAAGCATTACTTTCTTACTACCCTGACTGAAGAGGCTAATCTAAAAGCAATGTGATCACTTCCTAGGAACAACTAAGTTTTTGTTAAGTGTGCCCTACAGCTTAAAGCTATGCATGTTGTTGCCCACCACCTCCGACAGGTAAGCTAGAAAAGCAACTGGAGAGGTGAAGGAAACCTATATCTCTACTTCCTCCATACTTTTCAAATTTCACATGTTAATCAAATACTTAAGATATTTGTGATTGCTAGCTATGTATAAGCCATTGTTAAAGACATTCACCTGTGTTATGTGTGGTAGGCTAAATAATGGCCTTCCAAAGATATTCATGATCTAATCTCTAGAACCTGTGAATATGTGACCTTACAGGGCAACAAAGACTTTGCAGATGTGATTAAATTAAGGCCACTGAAATAGGGAAGATTATCCTGGATTGTCACCGGTAGCCCTTGTAAGAGAAAGGCAGGAGGGTCAGGGTCAGAGAAGGGGACGTGAAGATGGAAGAAGATGTGAGAGACGGAGAGGGGTGGGGGTGGGGGAAAGATGTTAAGCTATTGGTCGTGAAGATAGAAGATGAGGCCATGAGCCAAGGAATGCAGGAGGCCTCAAGAAGCTGGAAGAGATAAGAAATCAGCTTCCCCCCCAAGAACCTCTAGAGAAGCACAGCCTTGCTGACACACTGATCTTATGATTTCTGAATTCTATAACTGTAAAATAATAAATCTGTTTTGTTTTAAGCCATTAGGTTTAGGGTAATTTGTCACAGCAACAAAAAGGAACTAATACAGTATGTGTTATGGGCTAAATTGTGTCCCCTAGAAATTCCTATGTTGAAGTCCTAACTCTCAGTGACACAGTTTGAAAAGAAGTCCCCACCAAATCTCATGTTAAACTGTAATACCCAGTATTGGAGGTGGGGCCTGGCAGGAGGTGTTAGGATTGGGGAGTAGATCCCTCATGATTGGCTTAGTGCCATCCCCTTGGTGATGAGTGAGTTCACATACATCTGGTTAAGAGTGTGGCACCTCCCACTCTCTCTCGCTCCCATTCTTGTCATGTGAGATGCAGGCTCCCATATTCAAATATGGCCTTCTGCCATAATTGAAAGCTTCCTGAGGCCTCACCAGAAACTCAGCAGATGCTGGGACCATGCTCTCTGTACAGCCTGTAGAACCACAAACCAATTGAACCTCTTTTCTTTTTAAATTACTCAGTCTTGGGTATTTCTTTGTAGCAAAGCATGAACAGCCTAACACACCCACTAACCTCAGATTGTGACCATACTTGAAGACAGGGCATTTAAAGAGGTAAGTAACTAAGTTCAAATCAGGCCACAGAGGTGGGCCCTAATCCAATATGACTGGTATCCTTAAAAGAAGGAGATGAGGACATTGACATGCCGAGGAAAGACCACATGTGGACACAGTGGTCTTTCCTATGTCTAAGCCAAGAAGAGAGGCTTCAGAAGAAACCAATTCACCAACACCTGTTCTCCAACTTCCAGCCTCCAGAATCATGAGATAACAAAGTTCTGTTGTTTAAGTCACCCAGTCTGTGGTACTTTGTTATGACCACCCTAGGAAATCGATACAGTATATCATGTAATTTTTACCACCCTGGCTTAGAGATGAGGACACTGAGGCTCAGAAGGAATGTGAAACTTGTTGAAAGTAACTGGATTCTTGTACATTCTTGGATAAGGCCCATGACTGACTGCCTCCACATTGTTTTCTTGCTCCCACACCAACTGCTCATTCATTTGACCACTCAGCAAGTAGTTGTTGAGCCAGACGCGGGTGCTCACGCCTGTAATCCCAGAACTTTGGGAAGGTGAGGTGGGCAGATCACTGGAAGTCAAGAGTTCCAGACCAGCCTAGCCAGCATGGTGAAACCCTGTTTCTACTAAAAATACAAAATAATTAGCTGGGCATGGTGGTGGGCACTTGTAATCCCAGCTACTCAGGAGGCTGAAGCAGAAGAATCTCTTGAATCCAGAAGAAGGAGGTTGCAGTGAGCTGAGATGGAGCCACTGTACTCCAGCCTGGGTGACAGAGTGTGACTCCGTCTCAAAAGAAAAAACACAAGTAGTTATTGAATGCCAGCTGCATGTCTGGCACTTGGGATCCATCAGTGAGCAAGGCAAACACCTGGGCCCAGATGACACTGATATTTTGGGGCAAGCATTGTGTTACAGGAAGAGGAGATAATCACAAAGCAATAAACATCACAAATAAGTAAATAAACTGTAAGGCCCTGTATGATATGGACATAATCTCCCAGAAATCCAGTGTGCATGAGGCACAGCATTTTGCATGACATGGGAAGGGCACCCTACAAGGAAGCTATTAGCTGGTACACAGATTCTTCCAACCTCACACTCACTGTGCTATCTTGGCTGATATGACTGCTCCTTGCAAACACCCCCAGATGCCAACTTTTGACAGAAACTCCTTGCTGTAGTCTTTGAAACCCAGAGGTGAATGGCTGTTGGTGACATTGGTGAGTGAGGGGCCAAACTCTTTCCACGTGTGCAGCACGTCTGGTTTTCTGAATATGTCATCAAGAGCTTGACACCAACACTTAAAAGCAGCCCTAAAACAGAGACAAAGAGTCAAGGAGTACATTTTCTGAGACCTGCTATTAAATCTATCTTCCAGAAGGGAAAGCAAATACACAGAAGCAACATCAATTAACATATGTATAACTATACACACATCCACTGTTCTTAATGGTTTCTCTCAGGTAGCGTTTGATGAATAAAATGCAGCGAGGTAGTATTGCTGAAGAACTAAAATTCATGAAAGACAATTTTTTTCATAATCATTAAAAACTTTTTCAAATAAGCAAATAAAACAACTTTGCCCTTGTTCTACAGATTTCTAAAAATCTACCTTTTCTTTTCTGCAAAGATGAGAAGACTTCCAAGTGAATGCAACGCCTGAACTTTAAGACTTCTTTGATTACTGGCTTGGAGAACATCTATATTTTTAATCAAGTAAAAGAACAAATGTCAGTTCCTAGAAAAATATTTTCTTTATATTTGCAAGAATATTTTAAACTGCACTGTTCCTTAACTGTGTAGATTGCAATAAGCAAACTGCAATAGCACCTTCAAATGTCACATGATATATATACACAAAGAGTGAGCAAACGTTCTTTTTGATTACAGAGTGAAAGATTGGCTCTAACATACTAATAATGAGGCTTCGTGGAGAAAGCAGAATAAAAGTCAGACAGGTAGACGCAGGAGAAGAGAAACTTTGGCAAGGCATGTAAGGAAAAATGGCTGAGTATGTATAGGAATGATGGGTATGACTGCAGTATGGTTTTCCGAAGAGGGTGAACTGAGTCTGAAGAGGGAGGTAGTGGTCAGGTTCTGTGGGCCTCTGACTGCCACTTAGAGAAATGTGGATGTTATCCTATAGCAGATGAGAAGGCTCAAAGGGTTTGCTTTTTAGCAGACATGTGACAAGATAACCACATATCAGGTTTCTCCTTTTACCTAAAGGCAGAAAATGTATCTTTAATATCACATAATTGGCCAGGCAAGGTAGCTCATGCCTATAATCCCAGCACTTTGGGAGGCCAAGGCAGGCAGATCATCTGAGGTCAGGAGTACGAGACCAGCCTGGTCAACATACTGAAACCCCGTCTCTACTAAAAATATAAAAATTAGCCAGGTGTGGTGGTGCATGCCTGTAATCCCAGCTACTCAGGAGGCTGAGGCAGGAGAATTACTTGAATCTGGGAGGCAGAGGCTGCAGTGAGCCAAGATCGTGCCATTGTACTCCAGCCTGGGCAACAACGCAAAACTCCATCTCAAAAACGAAACAAAACAAAACAAGAAAATCACACAATTTTTTTTTTCTTATGAATTCATGCATTCTGGGATTTGTAGCCAAAAACCCCAACCAACATGGCAGGGGTTTCTAAAGAGGGCAACACTGTCCCCCAGAGGGTATTTTAGAAATACGAGAAAGGGTTTTGTTAGATGTCACAATGGGGGCATCTCTTAGTAATTCATAGGTTAAGACTAAAGATGTCAGATGGCCTGCAAGGCACAGAAACTTCCCCCACAGTGAAGGAAAAGATCAGAAGTCTGTTTATCTGAATCTCACATCAAACTTCGTTTTCCACATATAAAGGGTATTTCTGCATGATTTATAAATGTCCATGATTTCTGAATTTTCCAGACACGCAACCACTGTAGTACTTTGTTTTGTTCAGGACTTTACCAAGATTTATTTACCATTTTAGAAAATCATGTCACAAAACTTAATAATGTTGATAGTATTTGAGTCAGCAATACAACATACCTGTCTCTGCCTGCATGTGCAGCTGTCACATTCATGGTGATTCCATATCCAGGATATGAGCGTCTGACTATTTCTTTACAGCTTCTAATGCCTGAGCATTTACATACTAACAAACTGATTCTTTTATTATAAAGTGATGCTGTTTTATTTCTCCCCATTTTTATATTTAGAGCTTCATAATAATAATTTTCAAAATAATGTGTATAAGAATATATTAAAAATAAATTTTCTTTCAGGAAGTAAAAGGGGTATTATAAAATGTCTCTTAGGAAAAAAGAAGACATTGGGTCTCTCATGTAGGTTGAGAATATACTACTGAATCTGTAGAAAAGCCAAATCAAGGGAAAGACAAGGAAAACGGAATCAGCTGTGACCAGAAAAAAAAAAAGAACATCATCTCCATCCCCACAAGGGGTTCACAGCTCCAGTTAAAGAGGGATAAACAGAAGGGTGGCCTAGAATCTCATAATAGTGATGGCCAAGCTAAGAAAACGGGTAAAGGGAGGAGGCTGGAAGCTTCCTCTGTCCCCAGACTTTCTGTCACTGCTACAAGGGTATGGGCTCTTTCACCTGTCTTTTAAAGGTAAAATTTCACAACCAGATGCAATCTCAGCATTAATGCAGAAGATCATATTGAAAATCCCGAAAATTAAAATTTGAGGACCAGATGCAATCTCAGTATTAATGCAGAAAACGCGGCTGGGTGCAGTGGCTCACTCCTGTACCAGCACTGTGGGAGGCAGAGGAGGGCTTATAGAGCTTGCACCCAAGAGTTCGAGATCAGTCCAGGAAACAGGGTGAAACTCTATCTCTACAAAAAAATATAAAAATTCATCAGGCATGGTGGTGTGAGCCTGTGATCCCAGCTGCTCAGGAAACTGAAGTGGGAGGATGGATTGAGCCCAGAAGGTTGAGGCTGCAGCGAGCCATGATCGCATCCCTGCACTCCAGCCTGGATGACAAAATGAGACCTTGTCTCAAAAAAAAAAAAAAAATTAAAGAAAATGAATGCATAATGGATAACTCTTACCAATAGTTTGGTGATAAGAAGAAATTACGAGTCCAAGTTGTGAATATGGAAGTTTGCTTTTCTCCACGGAACTAAAAACTCTGAAGTGCTCCTGAGAAAGGTCAGGGGGTATTGACATATGCATCTCCTCTGTCCCCAGGCAAAATTCCACCCTTCCAGAAGTACATTTGGAATTGTTTATTCCTCCTCTCTCTCCTAAATTCATGAAAAACAATAATAATAAATAAATTTAAAATGTAGAAAAAAAGGAAGTTGCGGGGGAAGGTAGAGAACATGGAAAGGGAAAAAGAAGGAAATATTTTATATATAACTGAGACATTTTTGCAGTTTGAGGGACATTATTTCCTTAAACTTAGTATCCAGGGTAATGTTTGAAGATCCTAGGTATGTGTGGATAAGCTCCATGACTGTATTATTTCATCAAAAGCACTACAGAGGGGCCGAGCACAGTGGCTCATGCCTTTTAATCCCAGCACTTTGAGAGGCTGAGGCAGGCAGATCACCTGAGGTCAGGAGTTCAAAATCAGCCTCGCCAACATGGAAAACCCCATCTCTACCAAAAATACAAAAATTAGCCATGTGTGGTGGCGACTGTCTGTAGTCCCAGCTACTCGGGAAGCTGAGGCAGCAGGATCATTTGATCCCAGAAGGCAGAGGTTGCAGTGAGCAGAGATTGTGCCATTGCACTCCAGCCTGGGCAACAGAGCAAGACTCCATCTCAAAAAAAAAAAAAAAAAGCACTACAGAGGATAGTCAGGTAGAAAGCAAATATTAAGATAATGCTTTGCTTCTTGTGGGGACTGGTGGAAGTTGCGTAGTTTTGAGTTTGCCTTTTTTAAATAGCTTCTAACAGTAGGGTGTCAGTTTGCCTCTGGGGCAGACACCTCTGGGATAGAAGCAACACACAGGTAGTTCTGGCCTGAGACAAAACAAAAAGTGGGGGTTGGGGGGAGGGGATGTGTCTCTTTATAAGATCATAGAACACATGGGGGAAATAATCGATATTCTAGGTGAAGTGGTTAAAAGTAATAGAGAAAGAAGCTAGTATAGATTTTGAAGTCCACAGCCGGAGGAGTAGAAATAAACTACTGAAAATATTTTGGTACCAGCTGAGATTCAGAGTGAGTTGGTGTAAACCATTCCTAGGAATTGTATTTGCCTTTTTATTTATTTATTTATCTTACCCATTTTATGGGGGGGGGTGGCTTTTCTGTTTTGTTTTGTTTTGTTTTGAGACAGTCTCGCTTTGTCGCCAGGCTGGAGTGTAGTGGCACAATCTGGTTCCCTGTAACCTCCGCCTCCCAGGTTCAAGTGATTTTCATGCCTCAGTCTCCTGAGTAGCTGGAATTACAGGTGTGTGCCACCACACCCAGCTAAATTTTGTATTTTTAGTAGAGACAGGGTTTCACCATATTGGCTAGGCTGGTCTTGAACTCCTGACCTCAAATGATTCACCCTCCTTGGCCTCCCAAAGTGCTGGGATTACAGGTGTGAGCCACCATGCACAGCCAGCCTTACCTATTGCTAATGTATGGAGCAATTAGAAGAAGCCAAACAAGATATGGAGAGCTAATTTAACATAATGTGAGTCTGCAGACAATATAACCAAAAACTATGGATAGATATCATAGAAAGTGTGGGGGGTGGGCAACAACAACAAATACGTAAATAAATAAAACTCCGCCTGCGGTTGTAAAAAAAAAAAATTGGTCAAATTTCTAAAAGATCATTTCAGTGAAAATTAGCATCTTAAGTATAAATCAATTTTTAATAACTTTATACTATTTTACATGTATTTATCCTCATTATTCTGATCAATTTGAATAGCGAGAATCATAGATATAAAATAGGATTTTAAAACATTTTAAATAACTTAAGTATAGAGAGCTCAGGATTTTTCCAGCCTGAATTTGAATGTACTCTTCTCTGAGGTTACCATTTAATCACTCAAAGCCCAGCTTTGCTTGAGTTCACAAGCAGATAGGTGTTAAGAGAGAAAACAAATGCAACACAACCAGCAACAGTGAACATCTTGTTGTTTTAAGCTAAAATAACCTAAGATCAAAATCTATAGCATTAATAAGAAATCTTGGTGATGCTTGTTTTAAAATGTATCCATTTCTTTGCCACCAATAAAGCAGTGTTTTGGTAAAAGGTTCTAGTTAACTCAGTATGATTCAATCCATCTACTTATGAAGTAAAACAAGGCCGTAGCACCACACCTTCAAAGAAAACTGTAAGAAGAACATAAATGTACAGAATCAAAAAATTACTGAATATTGTCACAACTGCTGTACTCAAAAGAGTTTGCTGGTTTCACAGAAAGCATAAAGTGGGTGAGTGAGAAAGTGCATTGGCTAAAGTGTAAGATAGAGATTAGATCCACTAGACAAGAAGAAAGTGAAAGGCACCAGGGAGCATTGCACGTAGGTGGGGAGGGAAGAACGAGAGGGCAGAAGACGGACATCCGCAGGGTGGTCATCCCACATAAAGAAAGATTCAGAGATACAGAACAAGCATTTTACCTTGTGTCTGTGCAAGAAATAATGAAAGCAACTTTCTGCTGTGTCGCATTGATCTGTTATGGTATTTGGATTTTTCCAGTGTCTCTCTAAAACACCTCAAGGTGTCTGTCACGTCCACGGGCACGCAGACAAGCGCTTTGGCTCGGCTGTACTCTGAGAGGAAAGAAAAGAGGAACATTGGGGATGAAATGCTCACCAAGCCAAGGCAAGAGCCAGCAAGTTTCTAATTCAGAGCATTTCTTGGTCCCAACCTAAAGCCGCTCAATTCAAAGCCCCCAGATCTGCAGCAGGTGTTTCAACAATCGAATCAATTTTTTTCTTTTGGCATGTTTGAAGATCCTTTAAAAAAAAAAAAAAAATGCTTGGAAAACTTTTGAGTCTTCTGAAATGCAAATAACGTTAGATCTTGCCAATTTTCCCCATGAAGCCTCCTTCTTTTTCTTTTGCTGATCATAAAAAATGAAATAATCTACTCCTTTTCAGCAGCCTCTTCAAAGCAAAGGTGTCTTGGGAACGAGACGAAAGGAAGAAACAAAGAAACCTGGAAATGGGCAACTGCACTCTGAAGGGAAGGAAAAAACAGTTTCCTAATACTGGAGGGTGCAAAGGAAAGGAAGAGGGGGACCCATGAGTGGATACAGAACTAACTAACCATCCTGAAAAGTCCCCAGAAAGGGGAGATACTGGGAGAGAACTGCTTCGAGGTCTCTGAAGAGTGAGTGAGGGCCTGGGACTTCAGAACTGCTGCATACATCATGAAGCAGACCCAAGAGAGAGGAATCACAGTTTGCAGGAGTGAATAACAAAAGAATGTATTTCTTCAACAAGTTGAACAAATGGAAGCTGTCCTGTAATATCTAAGGTTTTAATAGTATAGCAACTTACAGGGCATGTTGGAAGAGGTCAAAAGGCATGATCTTTGCCCTCAAGAAATTCACTATCTAGCTGAAGGGATGGGACACTCCAACACTGAAGTAATAAAGTCACATTTGCAGGGAGTACTTGATCACACGCCAAAATAAGGGAAAGATGGAAGACAGATCAGTGTAAGCAGGAAAAGGTGAGTAAGGAAGACCTTGTGGAAGAGAAGATAGGCCAGGTGTGCCTTTGAAGATAGGGAAAACTTGATTAGGAAGAAAAAGGCAAGGAGTTTTAGATAGTTAGAATAAGAACAGGAATAGCTAGGCTGGGCGAGGCGCTCATGCCTGTAATCCCAGCACTTTGGGAGGCTGAGGTGGGTAGATCACTTGAGGTAAGGAGTTTGAGATCAGCCTGGCCCACACAGCGAAACCCTGTCTCTACTAAAAATAGAAAAATTATTTAGGCATGATGGTGCATGCCTGTAATCCCAGCAACTCAGGAGGCTGAGGCAGGGGAATCACTTGAACCTGGGAGGTGGAGGTTGCAGTGAACTGATCATTTCACTGCACTCCAGCCTGGGCAACAGAGTGAGTGAGACTCCATCTCAGAAAAAAATTAATTAAAAATACAAAAAAGAAGTAGTATAGAAGTTAATCACTTCTAAAGGTTAATCTCAGTTGATCCTCACAGCACCTTAAAAATGGTCAGGAGTAGCTATCACCGACACTTTACAAAGAAGGAAAAGGGAAGTTGAAGGGTAGGAACTTATTTGAAGCCCTTAAAAAGAGGTGAGTGGAAGAACCAGTGTTCAAGCCCAGTGCCTTCCCAAGATGATTCACCAAAGGACAGCAAATCTTGGGTAACAGACACTGACCATTGACCCAGATTTGGGCACACAGATGCCTTGGGAATAGGACAGGAATAAGCCTGAAGAAAGTTAATAAGGGAAGAAACCCAGAAGCAGGGAGATCCTGATGGAATAAGTAACACGGGATTACTTTCTGTGGCCACAGAGACAACATCTTTCAATATACCCTAATGTCCTGAAATCCCAGAGGCTTCAGTCAAACCAGGGACATGGCGCATTGACAGAAGTCATTGTTCCTCCTACAAATTCAGTCTTGACACAATTCTCTATCACACATTTAAAAGGATCAAATACTTAAGCCAAAGTAGCTCTTGTGAACTCCCTGGAAGCTCTCCTTCTTATCAGTTTCACTCTGGGGTCTGCTCTGCCCTGTCCCCACCATCTCCCTCCTCAGTGACCCTCTCTGCTAAGCCGTGCCCAGTCCTGCATGGTCCCCAGGCCCATAGGCCTCTATTCCACATGCCCCCACCCTTATCCGCAACACCTTGAAGATTGTAGGATTCTGCTCTGTTTCTTTATTTTTCTTGCAAAAATTCATGAGCTTGGCTTTTGCTTTTTCTCCTTAAAGAGTGAGATCAGGAAAAGCAGTAAAGCAAGTATCTTAGTCAGTTGAAACTGCTATGCAAAATTACTGTAGACTGGGTGGATTATAAACAACAGAAATTAATTTCTCATCAGGCGCTCTGGCTCATGCCTGTAATCCCAGGACTTAGGGAGGACAAGGCAGGGAGGATCCCTTGAAGCCAGGAGCTCAAGACCAGCCTGCACAACAAAGCAAGACCGTCTCTACAAAAAAATAAAATAAAAATTAGCTTAGTGCAGGAGCATGTGCCTGTAGTCCTAGCTACTTGGGAGGCTGAAGTGGGAGGACCACCTGAGCCCAGGAGTTCAATGCCACAGTGAGCTATGATCATGCTACTGTACACCAGCCTGGGTGACAGAATGAGACCTTGTCTCAAAAAAAACAAAAGAAATTTACTTCGCATAGATATTCAGGGCTAGAAGTCTGAGATCAGGGGACCAGCATGGTAACGTTCTGGTGAGGGCCCTCTCCCTGGCTGGCAGATGGTTACCTTCTCATTGGTCCTCCCTCCCATGACAGAAGCAGGCTACAGAGCAACCTGGGGTCACTTTTATGAAGACACCAGGTCAGATGCAGTGACTCACACCTGTAATCCCAGCACTTTGGGAGGCCAAGGCGGATGGATCACCTAAGGTCAGGAGATGAGGTGAAACCCTATCTTTACTGAAAATACAAAAATTAGCTAGGTGTGGTGGCAGGTGCCTGTAGTCCCAGCTACTCAGGAGGCTAAGGCAGGAGAATCACTTGAACCCCAGAGGTGGAGGTTGCAGTGAGCCGAGGTTGTGCCACTGAACTCCAGCCTGTGCGATGGAGTGAAACTCCATCTTATTAATTAATTAATTAATTAAAATAAAGACATCAATGCCACTCATAGGGTTCCACCCTCATGACCTAACTTATGCTACAAAGGCTCCAACTCCTAAGATCATCACATTAGGGGTTAAGATTTTAATATATGAATTTGGCAGGGGTCTTGTGGGGGGAACCACAAATATTCAGCCCATAACAGTGAGCAAATGAAAGGAGGAAAACTGGAAGCCCCCACATAAAACATATGAGATAGTTACTTTCTCTAGGCCATAGTTTTAAACATTTGTTAAAACTGGGATGATAACTGCCTGCTCGCTGGGTTCACAAGGACTCCAGCTTTCTTCCCTCATTAACTTTTCTCAGGCTTGTTCCTGTCCTATTTATTCCCAGGGCATCCCTCTCACCAAAATCGGGTTGACGATTTTAACCTGTGTGAGGAGGTGCAGCATGTCTAGTGCAGAGCCTGTCACGGAGTAAGCATTCAGCAGATGAAGGCTCACATCACGACTGCTAGTCATGTATTTTTAAAATATAAATTGAACACTCACAAGTACTAGGCACTGTGCCAGGCACCGAAGGAGACACACGTGAGAAAAACAGACACAGTCTCTGCTCTCACCAAGCTTACACTCTACAATAAAATCTGAAACTTTTTATTTATAATAAGAACAGTCTGAATAAAATCACCCCACAGCTTTTTTATCTGGCTGATAAATAATTCCTTTGTGTTCTTCCTAAACTCTATTTTACTTTCTTTTTCTCCCCTTTGTTCAAGCCCTGCATATCTTTTTCCTGGTTGTCTAATTAGGGTTCTGCTGCTGGTGACGTGGCTGTCTGCATGAGATAAATGATGCAAAGCAATGAGGAGGTAGCATTAGCTTCAGAGCCCTTATCTTGACAGCTCTGCCTCAAGGGGGTTCCTCTCTGAAAACTTCCATGGATAATTTAAGAAGCTATTCCAAAGGCACTAATAGCCTCAACAGTTTGAAACAGATAAGAAAGAAAAGAAGGAGAAGGAGAAAAAAAAAATTAATGAAAAACATTGTGTCTTTCATTGTACCAACGTAGAAATGAAAGCTGAAATGCCAATGACTCCTGAGAGATGGGTCCACCAAGGAAGGATCCCAGCAAGCGATCTGAAATGTAACCTGCTTCCTACACACGTGGCCACATCAATCCAAATGCCCAAGGGCACTCACTAATAAAACACACCTGCCAAAGGGTTGAAAATTCCAACACACCTGAGGACTGAATAACTCTACCAGACAACTTAAACACTAGTAAGGTCAAAACTCAAGAGAGAGATCCCAGGCAGAATGCAAAAACAGCTTCAGTAAAAGGCATATCCAGAGTTATCTCCCCTATGGAGCTTAACAAGCAGGCAAGTTACTCACCCATACAAGAATATCTATAAAATGAAGTATTCTCACTTCTCCAAATCCTACAGAGACTATACGAAATTACACATGCATTATTAAATAGTTGAAGGGAGAATAGGATGCTGTTAAATAATGAGTACACCAAATGTTCCTAGGCAGTGGAGCATTGCAACATCTATTCTGAAGAATTAAATGTATCGAGCATCACCACTCAATGCTATTATGCCAAAAGAAAATCTATGATGGTCTAAAGCAGCGATCTGGTGTGAAAACCATCATGAGTGCTCTGTCTTTTAAAAGAATTGCAAACATATCAGGGTGACGACATACGTTAGACCCAACATGCTATAAATATATTGATGGTCCGAGTTCAGTACACTGAAAAAGTTCAGCATTCTACAACTTTGCCAAATAAACCCAAGAGCACAGACCAAAAAAAAATGTAAAAATGTTCCCAATAACAGAGGTCCTAAAATCTTAGAAAGAGCTATAAATTGGATGCCAAGTTTTTAATGATAACGATTCCATGTAAAACCTATAATTAGTTATACAGGATCATCTAAAAATTACCACACTATCACAGTAAGTCAGAATAAAGTGTCTGTCTTCAATGATCGCTGAAATATAGCAAATTTCTTCTTGAATGCTGTAG